GTTTCACCATGTTGACCAGGATGGTCTCGATCTCTTGACCTCGTGATCCACCCGCCTCAGCCTCCCAAAGTGCTGGGATTACAGGCTTGAGCCACCGCGCCCGGCAGTCGACTGATTTTTTAGAAGGAAATTCCATGGAGAAAAGTTAATGTTTCCAAGAAATTGCTCTGAAACAATTTGATCCACATGCAAAACATAAGCCCAATCCATACCTTAAACTTTATATTAAAATTTGCTCAAAATGGATCATAGACCTAAATGTAGGACTTTAAAACTTTAAAGGAAAACACAGAAAATCTTTTTGATATTGGATTAGGCAAGTAGTTCTTACATATGACATCAAAGTCATAGTCCTTAAAAGGAAAAAATTGGTATATTAGACTTTATCAAAATTGAATTTTTTGCCTCTTTGAAAAACTCCAAAGAGAATAATAAGACAAGCAAGAGTTTGGGAGAAAATATTTACAAATTAAATATCTGACTGGTCCAAAGATAGTGAGTTATCTCAATTGAGTGTTCACAGTCAGTTACAGATCGAGCTCCTTGTTCTACTCTTTCGCCCCTTCTCACTACTGCACTTGACTAGTCTTAAAAAAAATGTTTTGTTTTGTTTTTTAAATTAAATATCTGGGTCAGGCATGATAGCTCATGCCCGTAATTCCAGCAGCTTGGGAGGCTGAGTGGGGAAGATGGTGTGAGGCCAGGAGTTCAAGATCAGCCTGCACCACAAAGTGAGACCCTATCTCTACAATAAATCAAAATTGGCTAGATGTGGTGGGTAGCTCACACCTGTAATCCCAGCACTTTGGGAGGCTGAGGTAGGCAGATCACTGGAGGTGAGGAGTTTAAGATCAGCCTGGCCAACATAGTGAAACCCTATCTCTACAAAAATACAAAAATTAGCCAGGTGTAGTGGCGGGTGCCTGTAATCCCAGCTACTTGGGAGGATGAGGCAGGAGAATCGCTTGAACCCAGAAGGTGGAGGTTGCAGTGAGCCGAGATTGCATCATCGCACTCCAGCCTGGGCAACAAGAGCCAGACTCCGTCTCAAAAAAAAAAAAAAAATCAAGATTTAGCCAGGCATGATGGTGCACATCTACAGTATTAGCTACTTGGGAGGCTAAGGTGGGAGAATTGCTTGAGCCCAAGAGGTCAAGACTGCAGTGAGCTGTTATGGCACCATTGTGCTCCAGCCTGGGTCACAGAATGAGACCCTGTCTCCAAAAATATATAAATATATGAAAAAGGATTTGTAAACAGAGCATAAAAGAGCACTTAAAACTCATAATTAGATTTAGTGAAATGTTAATAAGCCATAAAATGGAATGCAATTTTGATATATGCCACAACATGGGTGGACTTTGAAAACATGCTTAGTGAAATAAGCCAGACACAGAAGGACAAATATTGTATGATTCCACTTATATGAGGTACTTAGAATTGGAAAATTAATAGACACAGAAAGTAAAATAGAGGTTACCAGGGACTGGGAGGTGGGGTTGGGGGACACCAGGGGGAAAGAGGGAGGTCATTATTTAATGAGTACAGATTTTTCTTGGGGATGATTGAGTATAGATATTGGTGATGGTTACACAACATTGTGAGTATATTTAATGCCACTGAATTGTATGCTTATGAATGGTTAAGAAGTTAAATATTATGTTATATATCACCACAATTTTTAAAAACCTGAATAGTAAGAAAACAAGCAACCTGCTTTTTTTCTTCTTCTTCCTTTTTTAAAGATGGGGTTTCACCATGATGGCCAGACTGGTCGTGAACTCCTGACCTCAGGTGATCCACCCACCTTGGCCTCCCAAAGTGCTAGGATTACAGGCGTGAGCCACCGTGCCTGGCTTTTTTTTGTTTTGTTTTGAGATGGAGTCTTGCTCCGTTGCCCAGGCTGCAGTGCAGTGGCATGATCTCAGCTCACTGCAACCTCCACCTCCCAGATTCAAGAGATTCACCTGCCTCAGCCTCTCGAGTAGCTGAGATTACAGGCATGCACCACCACACCAGGCTAATTTTTGTATTAGTACACACAGGGTTTCCCTGTGTTAGCCAGGATGGTCTTGATCTCCTGTCCTCTTGATCCGCCTGCCTCGGCCTCCCAAAGGGCTGGGATTACAGGTGTGAGCCACTGCACTCAGCTGGAACCTGCTTTTTTAAAATTAGCAAAAGTTTTGAATAGATGCAAACCCCTAAAGGAGATATATGAATGGCTAATAAGCCAGGCTGGGTGCTGTGGCTCATGCCTGTAATCCCAACACTTTGGGAGGCTGAGGCGGGTGGATCACCTGAGGTCAGGAGTTCGAGACCAGCCTGACCAATAT